ACAAGAGACATAAGGCGAAAACTTCAGAAGCTGCGCCCTACGGAAAGTAGGAATCTGGAGGTATTGTTAGAGGAGGCGTGGAAAGTGTTTAGCAACAGGGAAGAAGAATGTCGACAAGGACAGATGAAGTTGATGGCCACTCTGGTTCAGAGACCGGCCAGGCAACGACCGCGGCTGGGGTGGGATCAGTGTGCTTTGTGTAAGGGCTTCGGGCATTGGAAAAAGGAATGTCTAAGGAATAGGAGGGAGAATGGGAAGGCTTCAAGGAATGTAAAAATAGCAAATGTAACAGAGGACTGACGGGGACCTGGGGGATCTACCCTGGCGGATCCACTGGTTAAAATTAAGCTGGGGAGAAAAAAAGAAGAAGTAGAATTTTTGGTAGACACAGGAGCAACGTATTCGGTTTTGAATCAAGCTTTAATACCACTGGGGAATGACTATGTTATGGTAAAGGGAGCGACCGGCCAATCTGAAAAGGCGTATTTTTGTAAACCTTTAGAGTATAAATTGGGAAAGCAATGGGGAATTCATAAATTCCTTTATATGCCTAACTCCCCAAAAGCTCTCCTGGGGAGGGATTTGCTGGAACAACTGGAAGCGAAAATTGTCTTTGAGAAAGGGGAAGTCACCTTGGAGGTAAAAGATCAGCAGTACATTCAAGTGCTGAGTCTCACTCTAACTAGTTCTTCGTCAGGAGGAGAAATTAGTGAGGAAATTTTAGACCAAGTATATCCGGGAGTTTGGGCTACCGATGTACCTGGAAGGGCGAAAAACGCTCTACCGATTGTGATCAAGATTAAGGAAGGTCAACGACCGGTGAGAATTAAACAGTATCCTTTAAAAAGGGAGGATAGGGAAGGAATCCGACCGGTAATAGAAAAATTTTTGCAATTAGGGTTATTAGAAGAGTGTGAGTCTGAGTTCAATACCCCTATACTGCCCATTCGGAAACCTGATGGGTTGTATAGGGTGGTTCAGGACTTACGGGCTGTAAATAAAATAGTTGAAGATCTCCACCCAGTAGTAGCAAACCCTTATACCCTGTTAACTGTATTAACACCAGAGTTGATTTGGTTTACTGTCTTAGATTTGAAGGACGCCTTCTTTTGCCTTCCTCTCCATAAAGCCAGCCAAAAGTTGTTTGCATTTCAGTGGGAAAATCCTAAAACTGGTCGAAAGACCCAACTCACCTGGACGGTGTTGCCACAAGGGTTCAAGAATAGCCCTACTCTTTTTGGCAACCAGCTTGCAAAGGACTTGGAATCCTGGGAAGCCCCATCCGAGAAAGGAAAATTATTGCAGTACGTGGACGACATTTTGATCGCTACTGAGACAGAAGAGGACTGTGCAACGTGGACGGTGAGCTTGTTAAATTTTTTGGGACTGCGGGGGTATCGAGTTTCTAAGAAGAAAGCCCAGGTGATACAACGTAAAGTAAACTACCTGGGCTATGAGATCACTGCAGGGCAAAGAACTTTGGGACAGTCCCGTAAGGAAGCCATATGTCAAACCCCGAAACCTCAGACAGTAAAAGAATTAAGAACCTTTTTGGGAATGACGGGGTGGTGCAGGCTATGGATCTATAATTATGGACTGCTTGTTAAGCCCCTGTATGCGCTAACAAACACCGAACAGACGCACCTTGAATGGGATGAGGAGGCTGAGCAAGCCTTCGATTCACTGAAGAAGGCTTTGATGTCGGCCCCGGCTCTAGGACTCCCAGATGTGAGTAAACCGTTTTTTCTCTTTTCTCATGAGAAGCAGGGCATTGCCCTGGGAATACTGGCACAAGACCTAGGTCCATATCGACGAGCTGTCGCCTATCTCTCTAAACAACTAGATGCAACTGCAAAAGGGTGGCCTGGGTGTCTGCGAGTGGTGGCTGCCCTGATACTGAACATACAGGAAGCTCGGAAGTTCACTCTGGGCCAGAAAATGACTGTCTATGTGTCACATACAGTGTCGGCAGTCCTGGAAGCAAAGGGAGGGCATTGGCTTTCCCCACAAAGATTTCTGAGATACCAAGCTGCACTAGTAGAACAAGATGATGTACAGATAATAGTCACTAATATTATCAACCCAGCTTCTTTCCTCAGTGGTAACATGGGAGAACCAGTGCACCATGACTGCTTGGAAACAATTGAGGCAACATACTCAAGTCGCCCTGACCTAAAAGAAAGCCCCATGAAGGATGAAGAGAGCTGGTTCACGGATGGAAGCAGTTACGTCCTGAACGGTAATCGATATGCGGGGTATGCCGTTACCACCAGTCAAAAGGTAATAGAATCAGGACCTCTGCCTGCAAATACGTCTGCGCAAAAGGCAGAAATAATTGCTTTAACCCGAGCCCTGGAACTAGCTAAGGGTAAGATCATAAACATATACACGGACTCCAAGTATGCTTTTGGAGTTGTGCATGCACATGGAGCAATCTGGAAAGAAAGGGGACTATTGAACTCCCAAGGGAAAAACATTAAACATGCGGAAGAAATTTTGAAGCTATTGGAAGCTGTTCAATTTCCTAAGAAGGTGGCAATTATGCATATTAAAGCACACCAAAAGGTGAGCTCTGAATTGGAAAAAGGAAACGAGCTGGCGGATAGGGAGGCAAAACGGGCGGCCAAAATAGAGATAAAGACTGAAGGAGCACTTATTCCCGATAGGCAAATTTCCTTGGAAAGTAAACCAGAATATACCAGGGAGGATCAGAAACTTATTGCAGATTTGGAAGGGACATATAACAAGGAAGGGTGGGCTTATACCCCACAGGGGAAATTAATTATCCCCTCTCATTTACTATGGCATTTTACACGAGAGGAGCATAGAAAGAGACACTGGGGAGCAGAAGCTTTGTATAGTCATTTGATAAAAGAGATTGTAGCCAGGAATTTGTATACCACGGTAAGGCAGGTGACTCAACAATGCGACATCTGCCTCCGGACTAATCCCAAAAACGCCCCCAAACTAGAAATGGGTCAGATTGGGAAGGGCAACGGACCTGGGCAACAATGGCAAGTAGATTTTACAGAATTACCAAGAAAAGGGGGGTATCGATATTTGTTGGTACTGACTGATACCTTTTCAGGCTGGCCAGAAGCATTCCCTACTAGAACCGTTAAGGCTCGGGAAGTAACTAAAGTACTGATACAAGAAATAATACCACGATTTGGGGTTCCGGCAATCATATCCTCAGATAGAGGACCACACTTTGTCTCAAAAGTAGTACAACAAATTAGCCACCATTTGGGTATAGATTGGCAGCTTCACACCCCGTATCGCCCTCAGTCAAGCGGTCAAGTGGAAAAGATGAACCACTTAATCAAACAGCAAATTGTAAAATTGGGGCAAGAAGCAAACCTGACATGGCCTCAGTCCTTGCCCTTGGCCCTTTTACGCATACGGACAAGGCCAAGGGCAAGGGAAGGGCTGAGCCCCTTTGAAATTTTATATGGACAACCATACGGGGTACAAAAAGGAATATCCACACAAATTGGAGATGAAATTATGAGCTCCTACATGGTGGCGTTAGGGAAACAACTCAATAAGATCAGAAAACATGTAATTGGTACTCGAGGTAGAGGGCTGGATGGACCTGTACATAATATACAACCTGGGGACTATGTATATGTTAAGTCTCTTACAGAAAAAACCTTGGAGCCACGGTGGGAAGGGCCATTCCAGGTGCTGCTCACGACGTTCACAGCCATCAAGATTAAGGAATACTCGGCCTGGATACATCACACCCGAGTGAAGAAAGCCCCTAAATCTCCATGGAAAGTTACCCAAGTTCAACCAGGAAGATTACGCTTCTCACGATAAGTCTGATAATCATTTTTCCTTTAATGTATAGTCAAAGGTTCAGTGAATGGCCATGGTCCCAGGCCCACATTGGGTATACTGGAAGTATGGGGATAGGCAGCACACACACGACTCTAAATTTGGCTACTACAGTTATACAGGGGATAAATGTGAGCTCAAAAGAAGAATGGAATCACACCTATTAAGGAGTACAACAATTGCAGGGAACATTGGGACAAGAAATTAAAATAGGATGCAGAGCAATTAATGAGTCTACTCACTGGGCAGCAAAACAGATCACAGTAAGAACACGTATGGAATCTGGGGAACCGGGCGCCCTTTTAGCAAACCAAGTCTGTGATACAACAAAATCAGATTGTTGGTATAACTCTACTCTTAACCAATCAATTTCCGTAGTATGTCTCTGGGTCAAGGGGCAGCCGATATTGGGATTATCCTTCAGATTTCATATAATAATAAACAACGCAACAACAACACCAACAACTGAAAAGACAACCAGCACAACAACAACAGCGCCAAACACAACTCAAACAACTCAACCCCAAACAAAACCAGGGCCTAAGATTTATGAAGTTGGCCCATATATGATTAGGAATGTGGACCAACAACAATTATTATTTAACCCAGATTGGTCTCTTAAGCGTGTTGAATTGATAATACAGACTAATATCTCCGAAATCCAACCAGCCTGTCTTCCTTTCGTAGAAACATCTTTCAAGGGCTGGACGAGATGGACACAAAAACAAATGCACCTTGAAAGCAGAACAAAAAGAGATTTAACTGGAGTATTAGGAACGGGGTTGGGAGTCTTGAATAGAATCGATTCAGAAGTATTAATGAACAAGTTGGTCACTGCAACAAGTGATTTAACAAGGCTAAAGCAGCCTCTGCAGTCATCTTTGTTGGCATTGGGAACTAGTCAGTGGCAAGTTTCAAAAATATTGCCAATATGGGAAAAGAATGAGGACCAAGATCACAGATTAATACTAGATGCACTTAGTATGGCCCAGAATAATGTGTCTTTAGCTTTTAGTTGTATACAGGCACAGTTATGGCTGCAGGCAACCGCTGCCTTGATCATAAGGGAAGGGAATGAAGGAATTTTTCCAGTTGAAATCCGAAAGGCTGTTTGGGACGAAGCTACCAATTTTGAAAGAAGATTCCAATCTTGGTGGACTATGGTGAATTTTACCTATGACTCCACTACTAACATGGCTACTGCCTTTGTGCTCACCATACGTAATGCTACAGTTTATGTAATCCATCCCATCATCGCATTAGGGTTAAACCATGAGGATACAGTGCTCTATCCTTCAGAGCATAGAGCATGGGCCCGGAAGGAGAATGAGAAATGGCAGACTGTAAACGTGGAATCTTGTATTACTCGAGAACAACAGGGGTTCATCTGTGAAAGTAATACAATTGACACCAGAGACATATGCCTTGACACTGAGCAAAGTATCTGTCACTTCGAAATTCACCCAGATAATAGTAAGAAAACTGTGATTATATATGCTGGTCAAGGCTGTATATGTTTAAGAACCGCTTGTGTATTCGTAGAGATAGATCCTGACAATGTAACTTTGTTTACTGGGAATCATTCTAATTTTTGTATTTGTAACTTTGTTAAGATTACTGGGTGTGACTTTGTATATTGGGCACCAGTGGTTTCCCACCAGTTGATAAAATCTAAAATCATAAATTATCTCGAATTATCACCTACACCTATTGGAATGAACCTTACATTAGTAAGGCAATTGATTAAACATCAAGATTTGTTAGGGATCTTGAGAGAAATTCAGAGAAACGGAGAGAAAACTTTAGTTACTATACACCATGATACAAAAGAAATAAACAGGGTTTTGCAAAGAACAAAACAAGATGCAAGTCACAACTGGTGGGATACTCTTTTCGGTTGGTCGCCTTCTGCAACAGGGATTCTTAACATTATGATACACCCCATTGTGATTCTACTAGGTAGTTTAGGAATTTTATTAGTACTAACCATCATTTTGTATTTATGGGTCTGGAGAATGTTTAAAAGAATAACAGCGATGCATGAGGCTTTATATTATTTGGGGGATTGCTGAAGTAAAAGAATTTACTCAATATAATAAGAAAAGGGGGGATTGATACAGGGCCAAAATAGGAACAGGGGATGTAAGGGTTAACATGAGAATAGCAAGAAGGGGATAATAGCAAGAAGGGGATAACAAAAGAAAATAGTTCAAGGGAAATAGTTTAGATAACGGTTAACTGTCTGCTTAGTGAGCAGACAGTTTATAAAACACGGTGAGCTCTCTAGGCTTTATCAGTACCAAGCCGGTTGGAACTAGACCCACGGTTTGGACAACAGCCAGTAAGAAACTGAGTATGCGCAAAACCTGGGGTCACAGAGCGGACAGGAGGAAGAGGAGCTTGACTTCATCCCCAAAGACCCCCCCGACCACCACCAGAAGACACTGCGCAGACTCAACTAGGAGGAGATTATGGAAATGCTAATTATAATATGAAGCGGGGATAGGTGTTGAATATGTATAGGCGTATTGCGAAATATTATGAATATGTAATCATTTGCTCTATAAATCTTAGGTAACAGCATCACACGTTGGGTACACAATAGGAGGAGTTATCCCCTGTGTACCTCAGCGCTGAATAAACATACCTACTTTACAATCTATCAGATTGTGGAGTCTATTTCCGCACGTCATTCACGACCCCTGCCCAGGACCAAAGGAACTCACTGCGCAGACTCAACTGGGAGGAGATCATGGAAATGCTAATTTTAATACGAAGCGGGGATAGGTGATGCATATGTATAGGCGTATTGCGAAATATTATGAATATGTAATCATTTGCTCTATAAATCTAAGGCAACGGTGCCACATGGTAGCACACACATTAGGAGGAGCGATCCCCTGTGTGCCCAGCGCTGAATAAACATACCTACTTTACAATCTATCAGATTGTGGAGTCTGTTTTCACACGTCAGTTTTGGTGAGCCAGGCAGGAGACTCTCTGCTCGACTACGGGATCGACTGCGGGGCGGACTCTCCTAGGCGCGCCCCGAGCACTTTCCTCGGAGGAGCCTCCGCTACCAGCCGCTCACCGTGGGAGCAGACAAGGACTTCCTGAAGCCGCAGACTAAACGGTATGTTCAAGGATAGGAGCCTGTAAGTCGTACGCGTGGCTGGGGCAGCTGGTAAATCGCGCAGAGACGTCTGGCGTGCAGCTAAGCCGGGTAGGTGCACCGAAAAGGCGCGAATTCGTGCGGGTTAGGGGAGTCTGGGGGGCAATTATATCTTGCCACAGACCGATAGAGCGGTCGCTGGCTCCAATCAGGGGGACCTGCTGGCCGATAGGGCGGCCACAGGCAAGAGTGATTGAAAGGACCTGTTGGCCAATAGGGCGGCCACAGGCAAGAGTGATTGAAAGGCATTTTGTTTTGTAGTGTTTTGTTTTGTTGTGTTCTGTTTTAACTTCAGATGAAAGTGCTGTAAGTATGTGGACGTCCGTGAGAATGGGAGATTGTGAGTGATTGCTGTGTGGTGATCATAAGATTGTGAGTGATTGCTGTGTGGTGATCGTGTTAAGCGAGTGTTTTACAGAAACAAGATGGGTAATACTCAGAGAGGGGTGTTAAAAAAGAGCCCTCTCTGCTGTATACTCGCCCATTGGCGGGACATTGCAGGGAGCGGAGGCACGGAAAGCAAAAGGACTCTTGTAAAATATTGCAATCAGTGGTGGCCGCTGTATAAGCTGGAGGATGGCGCTAAATGGCTGCTTAATGGAACACTGGACTATAACACTTTGTTACAACTTATGTTGTTTTTAAGGAGAGAAGGAAAATGGGATGAGGTATCATACACGGATATGTTTTTCACTTTGCGGAATCACCCAGAATGGCAAAGGGACTGTGGGTTAGTACCCCCACAGGACCCTATGGTGCTCGCACTTGAGAGAGAAAGTAAGGAAAGTAGGGGTAAGCTAAAGAGGTGTTGCTCATCATGTAGCATTGGACAGAGATGTACGAAGGTAGATAAGGTTCACCAAACCTCAGAACAAGATGATGATTTGTTTAAACCTCCCCCCCGATCACGGGATCAGGATGTCGACTCGGAAGGAACGGCGGACTCTCCCAATAGTCCGGTATCCGCCCACACTAGACAAAAACCAGCAACAAGTATTTTACAGGCACCCCTTTGGGAAGCCGTGGGACCGGAAGGTGGTACAATGTTGGTTAGGGTACCCTTCACCACCGTTGATTTGGAAGCATGGAGAGGAATTGCGAAAAACTATAGATGTGATCCACATGATGTAGCTAAACACTTCCAATTTATTATAAAACAGCATAACCCGGATTGGGTGTGATATACAGTTACTATTAGAATATATGACTGAAACAGAGAAACAATTGATTCTAAAAACAGCAGGAGACTTGGCGGAGGATCATTATAAGATTACCAGGGGAGACGTTAAGGAATATTTTCCCCTCCAAGACCCGAAATGGGAACCAAATAGATCGGCACATATGGAAAAGTTACGGGCGTATCGGGAATGGATCGCAAAGGGGATAGAAAGAGCGATCCCTAAAACTATAAATTGGTCAGCGTTATATGCAGTGAAACAGGGTCCTTCCGAGTCCCCATCTGAATTCTTGGATCGACTGAGCGATGTAATGCGCCGTAATACACCATTGGATCTGGGGTCAGAGGTAGGAATACAGCAACTAGTTTCCTTGTTCATGGGCCAATCTACAGGACACATAAGGCGAAAACTTCAGAAGCTGAGTCCTACGGAAAGTAGGAATCTGGAGGTATTGTTAGAGGAGGTGTGGAGAGTGTTTAGCAACAGGGAAGAAGAATGTCGACAAGGACAGATGAAGTTGATGGCCACTCTGGTTCAGAGACCGGCCAGGCAACGACCGCGGCTGGGGCGGGATCAGAGTGCTTTGTGCAAGGGTTTCGGGCATTGGAAAAAGGAATGTCCAAAGAATAGGAGGGGGAATGGGAAGGCTTCAATGAATGTAAAAATAGCAAATGTAACAGAGGACTGACGGGGACCTGGGGGATCTACCCTGGCGGATCCACTGGTTAAACTTAAGCTGGGGAGAGAACAAGAAGAAGTAGAATTTTTGGTAGACACAGGAGCAATGTACTCGGTTTTGAATCAAGCTTTAATACCACTGGGGGACGACTATGTTATGGTAAAGGGAGCGACCGGCCAATCTGAAAAGGCGTATTTTTGTAAACCTTTAGAATATAAATTGGGAAAGCAATGGGGAATTCATAAATTCCTTTATATGCCTAACTCCCCAAAAGCTTTTCTGGGGAGGGACTTGCTGGAACAACTGGAAGCAAAAATTGTCTTTGAAAAAGGGGAAGTCACCTTGGAGGTAAAAGATCAGCAGTACATTCAAGTGCTGAGTCTAACTCTAACTAGTTTTTCGTCAGGAGGAGAAATTAGTGAGGAAATTTTAGACCAAGTATATCCGGGAGTCTGGGCTACCGATGTACCTGGAAGGGCGAAAAAACGCACTACCAATTGAGGTTAGGATCAAGGAAGGTCAACGACCGGTGAGAATTAAACAGTATCCTTTAAAAAGGGAGGATAGGGAAGGAATCCGACCAGTAATAGAAAAATTTTTTCAATTAAGGTTACCAGAAGAGAGTGAGTCTGAGTTCAATACCCCTATACTGCCCATTCGGAAACCTGATGGGTTGTATAGGGTGGTTCAGGACTTACGGGCTGTGAATAGAATAGTTGAAGATCTCCACCCAGTAGTAGCAAACCCTTATACCCTGTTAACTGTATTAACACCAGAGTTGATTTGGTTTACTGTCTTAGATTTGAAGGACGCCTTCTTTGCCTTCCTCTCCATAAAGCCAGCCAAAAGTTGTTTGCATTTGAATGGGAAAATCCTAAAACTGGTCGAAAGACCCAGCTCACCTGGACGGTGTTGCCACAAGGGTTCAAGAATAGCCCTACTCTTTTTGGCAACCAGCTTGCAAAGGACTTGGAATCCTGGGAAGCCCCATCCGAAAAAGGAAAACTATTGCAGTACGTGGACGACATTTTGATCGCTACTGAGACAGAAGAGGACTGTGTAACGTGGACGGTGAGCTTGTTAAATTTTTTAGGACTACGGGGGTATCGGGTCTCTAAGAAGAAAGCCCAGGTGATACAACGCAAAGTAAACTACCTGGGCTATGAGATCACTGAGGGGCAAAGAACTTTGGGACAGTCCTGTAAGGAGGCCATATGTCAAACCCCGAAACCTCAGACATTAAAAGAATTAAGTACCTTCTTGGGAATGACGGGGTGGTGCAGGCTATGGATCTATAATTATGGACTGCTTGTTAAGCCCCTGTATGCGCTAACGAACACCGAACAGACGCACCTCGAATGGGATGAGGAGGCTGAGCGAGCCTTCGTTTCACTGAAGAAGGCTTTGATGTCGGCCCCAGCTCTTGGACTCCCAGATGTGAGTAAACCGTTTCTTCTCTTTTCTTATGAGAAGCAGGGCACTGCCCTGGGAATACTGGCACAAGACCTAGGTCCATACCGATGAGCTGTCGCCTACCTCTCTAAACTACTAGATGCGACTGCAAAAGGGTGGCCTGGGTGTCTGCGAGCAGTGGCTGCCCTGATACTGAACATACAGGAAGCTCGGAAGTTCACTCTGGGCCAGAAAATGACTGTCTATGTGTCACATACAGTATTGGCAGTCCTGGAAGCAAAGGGAGGGCATTGGCTTTCCCCACAAAGATTTCTGAGATACCAAGCTGCACTAGTAGAACAAGATGATGTACAGATAATAGTCACTAATATTGTCAACCCAGCTTCTTTCCTCAGCGGTAACATGGGGGAACCAGTGCACCATGACTGTTTGGAAACAATTGAGGTGACATACTCAAGTCGCCCTGACCCGAAGGAAAGCCCCATGAAGGATAAGGAGAGCTGGTTCACGGACGGAAGCAGTTACGTCCTGAATGGTAATCGACACGCGGGGTATGCCGTTACCACCAGTCAAAAGGTAATAGAATCAGGACCTCTGCCTGCAAATACTTCTGCACAAAAGGCAGAAATAATTGCTTTAACCCGAGCTCTGGAACTGGCCAAGGGTAAGATCATAAACATATACACGGACTCCAAATACGCTTTCGGAGTTGTACATGCACATGGAGCAATCTGGAAAGAAAGAGGACTATTGAACTCCCAAGGGAAAAACATCAAACATGCGGAGGAAATTTTTAAACTATTAGAAGCTGTTCAACTTCCTGAGAAGGTGGTGTTTATGCATATTAAAGCACACCAAAAGGTGAACTCTGAATTGGAAAAAGGAAACGAGCTGGCGGATAGGGAGGCAAAACGGGCTGCCAAAATAGAGATAAAGACGGAAGGAGCACTTATTCCCGATAGGCAAATTTCCTTGGAAAGTAAACCAGAATATACCAGGGAGGATCAGAAACTTATTGCAGATCTGGAAGGGACATATAACAAGGAAGGGTGGGCTTATACCCCACAGGGGAAGTTAATTATCCCCTCTCGTTTACTATGGCATTTCACACAAGAGGAGCATAGAAAGAGACACTGGGGAGCAGAAGCTTTGTATAGTCATTTGATAAAAGAGATTGTAGCCAGAAATTTGTATACCACGGTAAGGCAGGTGACTCGACAATGCGACATCTGCCTCCGGACTAATCCCAAAAACGCCCCCAAACTAGAAATGGGTCAGATTGGGAAGGGCAACAGGCCTGGGCAACAATGGCAAGTAGATTTTACAGAATTACCAAGAAAAGGGGGGTATCGATATTTGTTGGTACTGACTGATACCTTTTCAGGCTGGCCAGAAGCATTCCCTACTAGAACAGCTAAGGCTCGGGAAGTAACTAAAGTACTGATACAAGAAATAATACCACGATTTGGGGTTCCGGCAACCATATCCTCAGATAGAGGACCACACTTTGTCTCAAAAGTAGTACAACAAATTAGCCACCATTTGGGTATAGATTGGCAGCTTCATACCCCGTACCGCCCTCGGTCAAGTGGTCAAGTGGAAAAGATGAACCACTTAATCAAACAGCAAATTGTAAAATTGGGGCAAGAAGCAAACTTGACATGGCCTCAGTCCTTGCCCTTGGCCCTTTTACGCATATGGACAAGGCCAAGGGAAAGGGAAGGGCTAAGCCCCTTTGAAATTTTATATGGACAAACATACGGGGTACAAAAAGGAATATCCACACAAATTGGAGATGTAATTATGAGCTCCTACATGGTGGCGTTAGGGAAGCAACTCAATAAGATCAGAAAACATGTAATTGGTACTCGAGGTAGAGGGCTGGATGGACCTGTACATGATATACAACCTGGGGACTATGTGTATATTAAGTCTCTTACAGAAAAAACCTTGGAACCACAGTGGGAAGGGCCATTCCAGGTGCTGCTCACGACGTTCACAGCCATCAAGATTAAGGAATACTCAGCCTGGATACATCACACCCGAGTAAAGAAAGCCCATAAATCCCCATGGAAAGTTACCCAAGTTCAGCCAGGAAGATTACGCTTCTCACGATAAGTCTGATAATCATTTTTCCTCCAATGCATAGTCGAAGGTTCAGTGAATGGCCGTGGTCCCAGGCTTACATTGGGCATACTAATAAGACTAGAAATGTGAGCAACCACACGTTGGCTACTATAGTTATGCAAGGGACAAATGTGCCCACAAAAGAAGAATGGGATGCCTATCCAGGAGAACCACAATTGCAGGGAACATTGGGACAAGAAATTAAAATAGGATGCAGATCATTTAATAGCTCTACTTACTGGGCAGGAAAACAAATTACGGTAAGACCATATAAAGCTGGAAGAACCCCTTTAGCAACCCAATCCTGTGACTGTGAAAAAACAAATTCAGACTGTTGGTATAATTCTACTCTTAACCAATCAATTTCCGTAGTATGTCTCTGGGTCAAGTGGCCAGTTGGATCCCAGCCGCTATTGGGACTATCCTTCAGATTTCATATAATAATAAACAACGCAACAACAACACCAACAACTGAGAAGACAACCAGCACAACAACAACAGCGCCAGACACAAGTCAAACAACTCAACCCCAAACAAAACCAGGGCCTAAGATTTATGAAGTTAGCCCATATATGATTAGGAATGTGGGCCAACAACAATTATTATTTAACCCAGATTGGTCTCTTAAGCATGTCGAATTGATAATACAGACTAATATCTCTGAAATCCAACCAGCCTGTCTTCCTTTCGTAGAAACATCTTTCAAGGGCTGGACGAGGTGGTCACAAAAACAAATGCACCTTGAAAGCAGAACAAAAAGAGATCTAACTGGGGTATTAGGAACAGGATTGGGAGTTTTGAATGGAATCGATTCAGAAGTATTAATGAACAAGTTGGCCACTGCAACAAGTGATTTAACAAGGCTAAAGCAGCCTCTACAGTCATCTTTATTGGCATTGGGAACTAGTCAATGGCAAGTCTCAAAAGTATTGCCAGTGTGGGAAAAGAATGAGGACCAAGATCACAGACTAATACTAGATGCACTTAGTATGGCCCAGAATAATGTGTCTTTAGCTTTTAGTTGTGTACAAGCACAATTATGGCTGCAGGCAACCGCTGCCTTGATTATAAGGGAAGGGAACGAAGGAATTTTTCCAGTTGAAATCCGAAAGGCTGTTTGGGACAAAGCTACCAATTTTGAAAGGAGATTCCAATCTTGGTGGACTATGGTGAATTTTACCTATGACCCCACTACTAACATGGCTACTGCCTTTGTGCTCACTATACATAATGCCACAGTTTATGTAATCCATCCCATCATTGCATTAGGGTTGAATTATGAGGAAACAGTGCTCTGTCCTTCAGAGCATAGAGCATAGGCCCGGAAGGTGAATGAGAAATGGCAGACTGTAAACGTGGAATCTTGTATTACCCGGGAACAACAGGGGTTCATCTGTGAAAGCAATACAATTGATGCCCGAGACATATGCCTTGACACTGATCAAAGTATCTGCCACTTCGAAATTCACCCAGATAATAGTAAGAAAACTGTGATTGTATATGCTGGTCAAGGCTGTATATGTTTAAGAACCGCTTGTGTATTCGTAGAGATAGATCCTGACAATGTAACTTTGCCTACTGGGAATCATTCTAATTTCTGTATTTGTAACTTTGTTAAGATTACTGGGTGTGACTTTGTATATTGGGCACCAGTGGTTTCTCACCAGTTGATAAAATCTAACATTACAGGGTATCTCGAGTTATCACCTACACCTATTGGAATGAACCTTACATTAGTAAGGCAGTTAATTAAACACCAGGACCTGTTAGGGATCTTGAGAGAAATTCAGAAAAACGGAGAGAAAACTTTAGTCACTATTCACCATGATACAAAAGAAATAAGCAGGGTCTTGCAAAGAGTAAAACAAGATGCAAGTCATAACTGGTGGGATACTCTTTTCAGCTGGTCGCCTTCTGCAACTGGGATTCTTAATATTATGATACACCCCATTGTGATCCTACTAGGTAGTGTAGCAATTTTATTAGTATTAACCATCATGTTATATCTATGGGTCTGGAGAATGTTTAAAAGGATAACTGCTATACATGAGGCTTTATACTACTCAGGAAAATTGCTGAAGTAAAAGAATTTACTTAGTATGATAAGAAAGGGGGGATTGATACAGGGCCTAGATAGGAACAGGGGATGTAAGGGTTAATGTGGGAATAGCAAGAAGGGGATGAGGAGGGAAATAGTCGAGATAAGAGTTTGCCTAGCTTGTACGAGGTGTTTGTGTTGCTCGACCACTATCTCCTGTTTAAGTAAAAAGCCTCCTCCACCCCTGAGTAAGTGAAGATGTTTGTGTTGCTCGACCACTATCTCCTGTCTAAGTAAAAAGCCTCCTCCACCCCTGAGTAAGTGAAAATTACCCCACAACCGGCACAAACCTGCTCTGCCGGTCCAGGGGGTGACAGAGACTGCGCAGGAATTCGGGGTGAAAAGTTCAGCACTGAGGAAGAGGAGATACTTCCTCCCACGACCACCGCCCAGTCCTTCACGACCCCTGCTCAGGACCAAAGGAACTCACTGCGCAGACTCAACTGGGAGGAGATCATGGAAATGCTAATTTTAATACGAAGCGGGGATAGGTGATGCATATGTATAGGCATATTGCGAAATATTATGAATATGTAATCATTTGCTCTATAAATCTAAGGCAACGGTGCCACATGGTAGCACACACATTAGGAGGAGCGATCCCCTGTGTGCCCAGCGCTGAATAAACATACCTACTTTACAATCTATCAGATTGTGGAGTCTGTTTTCCGCACGTCAATATTGGTACTGGTTCAGCTGCATCACCCATTGCTGGGGTTTGAGTAGACCCAGTGCCTGTTGCTGGTGTCTGAGTAGCTACAGTGTCTGTCACGATGGTCTGAGTAACTGTAGTGTCTGTCACTGGGTTCTGAGTAGCCACAGTGCCTGTCACCAGGGTTTGAATAGCCACAGTGCTTTTCACAGCAGTTGGAGCACCTGCAGTGCCTGTTGCCAGGGTCTGAATCATCACAGTGCCTATTGTGGGGGTCAACCTCTTGGTGATATTCTTAAATAGTTGCTTAATCCTATCCAAGATCTGAAGCACACTCAGGAACATGCTGGTTCCTAGCAATAGAACCATACTGGTTTCAGTAGCCCAAGGATATTCAACATTTTCAAACACTGTTGTAATAAGCCTGGTGGAGAAGGGAAATATGTGGGAAGATGTCTCCTCCATAGGCTGGCACCCCAAGGAGAAAAGGCAAAAAGTGTAGTTATTAATAGTTTCCAACAGATGGCTACCAAAGTACAGAGATGATGGGAATGTTGAGTACAAATATCGCGTAGTTCTTCTATCTTACCATAAGCCAGTGTTACACAGCACAACAACATGAAAACTTTAGCCCAGTTCCCAGGGGTGATAAACAGCACAACAGGGAGCATATACTGTCAGTAAGGTATTACATAATGCAACTTTATCCCCGGTGGGATGGGGAGGAGAATTGGAATAATGAAATAAAACAAGTGGGTTGAGATAAGAACAGTTCAATAATTGAAATAAAAGAAAACAGTAACAATTATAACAATAACAACAACAATAATATTAACAATTGCAATGAAAAGGGAGATAACAAAAAGAGAAAGAACTCAAGAAAGGCAAGTGATGCATGATACAATTGCTCACCACCCACTGACTGATGCCACCAGTCCCCGAGCAGGGATTGGCCCCTCCTGGCCAATTCCCCCCAGTTTATATACTGACCATGATGTTCTGTGGTATGGAATACCCTTTTGCCTAGTTTGGGTCAGCTGTTCTGGCTGTGCCCCCTCCCAGTTTCATGTGCATCTCCTTGCTGGCAGAGCATGGGAAACTGAAAAGTCCTTGACTTAAGATAAGCACTACTTAACACCAACTAAAACATCAGTGTGTTATCAACATTATTCTCATACTAAATCCAGAACACAGCACTGTACCAGCTACTAGGAAGAAAATTAACTCTATCCCAGCCAAAACCAGGACAACTGTACAAGCCAGAATAGGAAGATAAAGGCTGATATGGGAAACTGCAGATTTATTGTTTGTCTTTCACTCATATCTTCCACATACATTTGCTAGGCTTTGAATGTAGGTTGGGATTAGGATAGGCATTAAGATTATGAAGAATAAGGAGCTCAGCATGGGGAAGGAGTGAGGCATGTTGTGCAATCCAGACTGGAAAGTTGAAGCGTGGCATAGGCAGATCTTCTGTTGGTCTTTCAGCAAAATGATTTGACTACAGATTTTAGCGAATGATCAAGAGGACATGAATGATTAGGGTAATCAAAAGCAGGGAAATCAAAATGAGAAGGATTATGCATGTTGCACAGTCTGGGATGGGAAGTGGAACCCTGGCCCAGGGGTCTGCAGGTGTGTGTTTCTCTTGCAGTGGGAACATACACCCACCAAGTTTAGCATGTCAGTTGACCATAAAGCCATGTCTATAACAATGTGTCTTCAAAAAGAGGCTGAACTTTACATTTATGCCTCTCTCACTATAGCAGTGTGACTTCTTATTTTAATAAGTAACAAAACCAAACAATTTAACTTGCTGTTTTAATGATATTAACAACTTTGAATGCAGCAACTGTTCATTTGCATTTCATTAAAACACAGGGAATCCATTGTCAACTGGAGAGGAGGGAATATAATTTTCACTGAAGAGTGAGTATTTGTAGAGATTTTATTGTTAATAAAAATGTTGAGTTACCAAAATACTTGAAAACATACATTTCTTTAGAGCTGCATGTTGTTAGGTGAACCTAAGCAGGTAAGGAATAAAATGAATGTTGATCCTTCATAAAGTAAAATGTTCTCAGAAAATGTTATAGTGCCTATTAAGAAGATGGGTTTAGATGAATTATATTGTAAAAGAAGATTTTTAAAAATTATTTTTAATCATGAGCTTTTTCTCTGTAGTTTGAAGATCTTCTTTACAATATAAATACAAGGAGAAAAGCTTTAAAAAATACCAGT